GCGATATCCGGGCTAGTATAACTTCTCCATTACCTAGTCTATCACTGGGGAGACGATAGCCGGGCTGGTATAACTTCTCCATTACCTAGTCTATCACTGGGGAGACGATAGCCGGGCTGGTATATTTTCTCCATTACCTAGTCTATCACTGGGGAGGCGATATCCGGGCTGGTATAACTTCTCCATTGCCTAGTCTATCACTGGGGAGACGATATCCGGGCTGGTATAACTTCTCCATTACCTAGGCTATCACTGGGGAGATGATAGCCGGGTTTGTATAACTTCTTCCCGCTTCTCTCGCTGGGAGACTGTCCTACCGTCCTGCCGTCCCTTGGATCGCTGTTTCTCCCTTGCAGCTCCCTACTGCACGCTCCACGAATGCGATTTTAGTGGTGCGAACTGAAAACCGGGTTCCAACGACGTTCATCCCACATCTGACACCAGAGTTTTGTAAACGGGACTCGGGTTCGGTGGATCCGGTGGTAGTTGGGAGTCGTCTGGTGGAGCGACAGCTGCGAGAAGATGAGCTCCATTACACACACGAGATGGCAGTTGCTGCCTGAGGCTTTAGCTGTGGCCGATTCTTAATATAGTGGAGTGAAAGTGTGTTTCTGATTAGAAAGTAGATTTCTGTGATGTTTTGCTGCCATGTACTACATACACAGGTGAGCGAAGGTATAACTTTCCGGAAACATTCATTAGTTTCACTTATTACAGCAGATAAGAAGCTTCTGGAATATCCTATTATTTTCAACACATCGGTCTTTCTGGACCTTGTCTCATTTGCGGATATTAACTTATGTTTATCAATTGTCTGGATGTAGCAGTTTTAAGTAGCAAGAGTCACAACTTGTGTCTCTGCTACGTGGTTCATAAACAATCTTATTTACGGTTAGTGTAAATAACATCGGTGAAAGCCAAGTTACAACACCGGCTATTATGTCCTGTTACAATTTGTAATATCCTGTCCATATCAAATATATTACTAAAGGATTTCTTTAATGAATACATTGATTGCAATTTATCCATAACGTGATTATTCCTCATATGCAACAACACATCAAACAGCAGTGACCCCAGAACAGATGCTTAAGGAATAAGGGAGAGCACTTCAAAAGATGGTAACTGATTGTGATACGAGATTGTCTGTTGGTTAGGAAACCGCGAAACAAACTTACATAAGTACCTAAAGTCCAAAAGCACTAAGCTTATGAAGAAGGAGGGTGTGAGGATCAGAACAAAATTCAATACTAACACCAAAAGAAATGGTAACAACTGAACGTTGAGGGTGGACTGAAGGGGCAACGAAATCATGTGAACTTACGAACAAAATCAACGAAAACATAAGAATAATGTTTCACTAGGGTGCTTGGCAAGAACGGTGTCCTATTACAGACAAGCAGTAAAATACATAATAAATACAAAGAAAATTACAAAGAAATAAACTAAGAAAAATAACAAATATACTAAAACTACACAAAAGAAATGTATCAACCAAGGAAACTGCATTAAAGGCCGCGCCAGAGCTCAAGCGGTTAGTCGCTGGCTTCCAAACGCGGCGGCCCGGGTTCGATCCCGGGTCTGGTCAAGTGGGATTTGTGGTGGACAAAGTGGCGCTGGGGCAGGTTTTCTCCTAGTACTTCGGTTTCCCTTGCCAATTTTCATTCCACCAATTGCTCCATAATCACCCTCACCTATCATTTGGGGCTGGCACAATAGACCAGAAGTAGTCGCAGTACCAAATGGACTCAGTCCCACCCCACCAAGTAATTAAAAAAAATAGGAAACTGCATTCATATGAAAGCATACAATCATGGACATGTCGTATTAACAGAGCTAGTATACTCGGCTGAAAGACTGGACTTCACACTACTGCTTGCAGTGAAATGGAAACTATTCTGGTGAGTTCAGTGGACGCATGAATAATGACAGCACCCACGAGAGAGTCATTATAGGGAAATGTAGGATTTGAGGTTCTCACAGAGGTGGTTATGAAGAGATATATACCAGAATATAGCATTTTTCAATATAGGGAAAGTACGATAATAATTATTATTATTTAAAAATATCCTAGATATAATTGTCCCTTTTAACTTACTTAGCATAAATTTATGCTTTGTGTTTTTCAAAGATATTATACAAACTTAAATATTCACAGTCAGATATTTTCCTCCTTTGGAACGAGTCATCAAAGATGTAGGCATGTGCTAATCAAAGACCTTCCAACTGTTGGAAGAAGACTTCGAAAAGAAATGATTTCTTTATAAATAGCGTTTAACTGAGATAGTATTTACTTGCGTTTTGAAGGGTTACAGTACAATTTTAATTCAAGACTTATTATGAGAAACTTATTGTCGTGTCTGGTGGGCTCAAATTCAGTCTGCCAAAGGTAAAATTTAAGTTTTTGAACTAAGCAATACCTTACATTTTCTTGTTTAATATACAAATGCTTATAATGAAGATCATGTCAAATTCAGATTTTGGCCATCTCGGATGTGACAACCTACGCCTCTGGAGGTCGCTTAATTTCTAAAATATTCCATCACATGCAGCCTATTTTATTTGATCATCTCCAGAGTCCTAGATCAGCAGGCAGGGTTGCGATCTAATAAGCCTATATTTCTTTCCTGAAGACAGAAAAATATGCAGAAAATCAATTTAAAGCCCTCGGGGTTGAGAGAGAGAATTTCAGCGTTCCGAATGGCTAGTCCAGGAGACTCTGTGTAACATATCACTATTCAATTACTACGTGAGGTGTTACACACGGACTATGATCGTAAGGTTCAGTTGAAAAATCAATATCTGGTCGTGATACTCAAGGGGATTGGCGCCAAGACGAACTGATTCGGCGGTAAACCGCCAGTCGTAAAATAACTCTCACTTTGACTTGAACTGTGAGACAGTCGTCATCCAGCGAGGACATGAGCCATTGAACATGGAAACTGATTAATCTTTAGGTTTGGAAGCCGTTACTAAGCAGCTACTGGTGAATACCCAGTAGACCGAGAAGACTTAATTTGTGTCATAATGAATTGCAGACTGTATAGATCCCTGAATTGTTAATATTGTATACACTTACATATTTCAAGAGTCAAATAAACCCGATTACCAATTAAAACCCCGTGTCTTGTCACAAAATATGTGACATTATAATTTTCATCTATGTCTTAAGTCGGATTTATCTTGCAACTGCATATAAATGAAGAAAATCACACGAACTACTACTTAAACAAATTAAATCGATTATCAGAACAGTAAAATTTACTATGTAGATACATATAACTAAGGCGTTATTATGCCTTTTATGATCCTTTTGTGAAACCATCGCACCAAATGCAGAATCCACATAAACACGTGTTAAAACTCATAAAGAATCCCACTCGAGTTATGGATGTCTGTGTTTCTTCTGTGTTTATGTTGCCCTGAGTTTGTAGCAACCTTGAGACAAGCTGATCACACGTCAAAAAATTCCTACCGACTTTCTATAAGATTCATAATTTCACAATTAATTCTGAACGGAAACAGGCCAGACAGGCTAATCCGTCAATATAAAAGGAGAAATTTATGCAGTAAACGCTCATTAATCCGAATTAACCCGAGGGAGAAGTCGTTCGGGTTAAGTGATAATCCCGAT